CCGGAGGCGCCCCGAGCGGGCCCCCGCGCGGACCAGCCCTCCCCGCCTGCGGCGGGGGGATGCCTACGCATTTTCGGCAGTAACGCATTCGGCGGATTTTACTTGCTGGGTTTTGTGCCATTAGGATTCATATTTCTGAGGTTTCGTTTACGATATTTAAAGCCATAAGTTAAGACTTTTCTGTGGCGTATACATCAATATACTTTGCATGACCTGGAAGCTAGGGCTTTATTACCCATTCCACAACTCGGTGCCCGCATGCTTTTTTGTCTTGGATTAACAGCTAAATAACGGTCAGCTCAATTTTAGATCAGCAATTCTTCCTTTTTCTTCCTTCAGCAAAAATTCTGACAGATGCTTTTGATGGGAATCCTCCCTCCTAGTATGTCTGAGTGCCAGGGATATCGAGAACGCCCAGAGATCGGTAAGCAATTGACAAAACATAACAAATTGTAGTTCTCTAGGTATGGCTGAATTTACAGCTCAAGCAAGATGTGATATTAGGATACTTACACAAAGTATGGCACACTTTCCAATTCCAGCATTTTTGAGCACAAACTGAACTTTCTGACTGTAGCAGCACATTAGAAATGGACATGACGAACGGCCTAGAGTTAAAATTAATTTTAAAGAATACTTGACAATATTTTGTCCCAAATGATTTCAGTAATATAACACAGAGTTGTCAAGTTTTGGGAATATACAGAACTCAGCTAAATCTTGTGCATAGGCTCCATAGGAAAAAAAAACAGATTGTCCATTAACAACCAGAGCGAATTGCCAGGACTACTGTAGGTCGGGCCGATGGCACCACCTGCTGGACATATTACCAAAGTCCAAATACACCAGCTGTTAAAATTATTGCTACATTATTTGCTTAAAACTTTCCAAACTTTTCAGTATTTGGGTTGAAGTTATCACACACTGGCCACAAATAACGAAAATCTTCTTTCAAAATGTATCAAGCGAAAGCACTAACATGTCTGTGAGAATGCAAATAAGAGAATATATATTGTTTGGCCCATGCTGACTGACACCTGAGAACTTTCTTGTCAAGTCCTCTTCTGCTCTGCAGAAGGGCTTTGGAAGATGACCATTTGCATAGGCACAGTAGAAACTCTTGAGTTTGCTAGTACAAATCTCCAAAGAGATTGTTCTTGCTGGGATTTCGTCTTTGCCGTTTCTGATGCCGCTGTTGTGGCAGGACCAACTCGACAGAGCAAACTCTATCCTAGGACTGCAGCAGCACAGCAAGCTTCCCTTGCTACTGCACTTCTCGAGTACCGTGGGGAGGCCAAGCACTAGCACTGAGTAGGAAATTAGCCTGTGTCTTCAAAGCTTTCACTGTTTGAGCCCAGATAGGAGAAAGGAAGGTATTTCCTATCATAAATGCAGACAGAATGAGAGAAATAAAGTAAGGACAAGGGTATGTGGGGATACTCGGGTTGGAGGGAGGGAGTGAATTTGCAATTAAGTGTAGAAGAAAAGAGACTAGAAGCTCTGAAAGACATTAGCAAGTGGGAGAAACAGACAATGCACTAAGAATAAGAATACTACCTCTTTCTTTACTTATCTAAGATCATTTATGTTGCCATAATTATATAAGTCATTTCTTCTAACCAGGCTAGTTTTTTAAGCAGTTAAATTCAGAAACGTGGGGACTTTTGATTCTGTTCTTGTCTGATCCCAAGGACGTTGTTTATTTTCTCTGCCTCGACATCCCAATCTAAACCCCAATCTAAACAATGGGACTACAACTGACTGCTGTCAAGAAGTCATTGAACAGGTAAAATTGCGTTTGTAGAATATTTTTGTTTGTAGAACGTGTTGTCATAATCTAATGATAAAAACATAAATTAGTATCTTTTCCTTAATGATTATTTATGTGTTGGTTTGCAAACAAATGCTGTTCAAAGCTGCTGTACATGACAACAGCAACTCCATAAAAGGTTTAAACCATAACATCTTCGTAATTTCGTTTTGCCTGGACAGGGTAACGGTATCACTCTTTAGTTTGTATCCTGACACAAAAATAACTGTATTTCTCTTCATGTACTTCTGCAAGTGAGGCCTGAAATTATTTGGTATTGAAGTTCATGGCAAAGCTGCTCTCCTACTTGCAGGAAGCAAAACCTATGGTGTTATTCACTTTACTGTAAGAAACGAGTTTGTGCAGGAAACCAGTTTAGATATGCAGGCCGACCCGTGAGGATGACATCAGACTCCTGACGGTGAGAGAGGCTTCCCCACAGATAAGGGCTGCTATGTAAGTGCTTAACTCCTCAGCGGACGGAAGAGCATTTGCTCAAGGGGCAAACTCACCGGCAAATCTCATTTTTCCCTTTCGTCCTTGCTCGGCCACGGAGGCAACACGACGTCGAGGAAAAAGCGCTGACAGGGGCTGAGCGCAGGAGGCCGCC